TAAGTCCATTTACCTGAAGGTTTTTTTCAGCCCTAATACTTCTTTGTTGATCTTTTTTGTCTAGTTGATCTATTTGTGTTAGTGGGATATTGAGGACCCCCACTATAATTCTGTTTATGTTTCTCTGGCCTTTTATGTCCAGTTTTATGAAGTTGGGTATGCTGTTGTTTGATGCATAGATGCCAATAATTGTTATCTCTTCTTGTTGGATTGTTCACTCAACCAAATGTAATGACCTTCTTTGCCTCTTTTGATCAGTTTGGCTTGAAATCCCCTTTCTGTGAATATAGGATAGCTGTGTAAGATAAAATAATATAACAGCAAATATAAAAATGACAACTTTATCAAGTTTATTCAATACAAGAGTCCGCTGGTTGAAATGACACCTGTCACACTGATGCTTGGGATGGTTAGCACGTAAACAAATGGTCTGCCTGAGTGATGCTTGGTAAACTGTTAAGTGGTTAAGGTATCTCTCATTAATTGGTCACCCACACCAGCCCTGTCTTCTAGTTCTGATACTCTGTCCTTACACTGTTTACTTCTACTGCCCATATTTTCAATGGGATTTTTTAATCTCTTGAGTTTCTATTTGGAGCCTTTCTCTGTGCGCTGATTCTTTCCTGTGTTGGTCATTCATGTCTTGCATCACCTTGTTTTGCCCTACTGGATTTTTGTTAGTGTATTCTTTAGATTCACTGATCATTTTGTTTATTTGGCCCAATATCTCTTTTCTTATATCTTCCATTAGCTTTGAAAATGTCTTGTCTTATTAATCTGTTTTGTTATCTCCTGTGGGGAGTAGCTGAAGCTGGAGATGAATCACACCTGGGAGCACCCAAGGTGAGCTGTGTGAACAAGCTGTTCTGCGCCTCCAGGCAAGCTAAGCAATCAAGTTGCAGAGGGGTTTCAACTAATAATAGCCTCCCGAGTGGATAAATAAATGCACTGTAGTCCTTAAGCAGTTCCTTTTCTCCCATCTGGAGAGAGGGCTACACTTGACCTCAGCTTTCTACATGCTGACTCTTGTCTGCATTTCTTCATCCTCCACTGTCCTTTACCCTAGGGATTTCGAGAGCTGTGCTGGACATGGCAATCACTCCCTAATTCAGATGTGTAGCTTTTGTTTCCTCCCTTTATATACCCCCTGGATCAGTTTTGGGGGAGTTACGAGTTTTTGGTGGCTTATTTTTGTGTATGTTGGCTTATCTTTTCATTGGCTTATCTTTTCATGTTTGAAAAAATTGGCTTTTGTTGACTTATCTTTTCATGTTTCTATTTGTGTATGTGTGTGTGTGTGTGTAAGCTTGTGGATTGATTGTAATGGAAAGCTTTTTTCCAGTACAGAGACCTCTTTTGAAAAGGAGAGAAAAGAAACTAAAAGAAGAGAAACAGAAAAAACTTGATGAAGAAAAGATGAAAGTAATAAAAAGTTTAAAAAGCAAAAAAAGATTGAGTAAAAAATATTTCTGTGTTTTCAAAAGTGTGGTTTCTTTCCAAAGTCTGTAGTCTTGGGATCTAGACAATAACAGTTTTCTCTACCTAGCTTTATGGGCTATGGTTTTTTTTTTTGTACCCAGAATTGAATTCAGGACCTTGTGCTTCCCAGGAAGGTGCTTGTGCTGCTGAGCTGTATCTATGGCCTGGCCTGTCGGTTTTTGAGCTGCCCCTCCTGCACCAGAGGCCCCTCTGTGTTTACCACAGACTGTGATTACGGTCAGCCACCGCAAGTCTTTGCTCCTGTTGGTACATGGGAAGTGCAGTCGGTGCTTTGGTCTTTGCTGGATGTAGGCAGTGGGGCTGGGTTGAGGTGGACTGTTGGGATTTCAGCAGGAGCGGAGTCTGGCTGCTTCCTTCTCTTCTGTGTGTTCTCATCCAGGATCAGGTCAGTTGATTAACCCTTGGCTCTGCTGCCCTGTTCCAAGGGGAAGCAAGCTGCTGAGCTAGCTTGGAGTTGGTGGATGGCTGCGCCCTTGGGTCTGGGCGGGCATAGCCTGCTTGCTTGTGTCGGAGCGGAGCACCATGTGCCTCGTGGAGGCCTGCATTCTTGCATCGGGACCGGGCACCCCTGTCTGGTGCGGGCCTGCTTGCTTACATCTCAAGTATTTGCTGTGTGCTAGCCCAAAGCTCTATACTTTCCTTACTTCTTTTCATTGTTTTGTTTTTTTCTCCTCCAATGCTATATTTTCAAATAATCTGTCTTGCAATTCACAGATTCTTTTCTTCTGTTTGATTTGTTCTGCTATTTATGCCCTCTATCACATTTAAAAATTTGTTTTTTAAAAAACTACTTAAGTTTTTTAATTTAAATAAATTACTATGTTAAGTGTGGTGGTGCACCCCTGTAATTCCAGAATTTGGGGGGCTGAGGCAGGAGGATCGAGGTCAGTTTGAGGTGAGCATGGGCTACAAAGTGATTTCAAGGCCAGTCTGAACTGCACAGTGAAACCCTGTCTCAAAACAACAAAAACAAATAAACAGAGTTACTTGTATCTCTGTGTAAGTTTGTCCAGTTCACTGTTGAATCATCTGAGTTTTCTCGAAAGTCACTGAGTTTTCCTAAAACAGTTTTAGTTTCCTATGTGATAGTCTCAGAAGCTGGTTATTATATGGTTTGTTTCCAGTGACTTATTTTGTATATTGGGTGAGGTCATGATTCCCTGAAAGTTCTTTTTGCTTCTTGGCATGTGGTACAGTTTTTTTGTCTTTTTGAGACAGGGTCTTGCTATGCAGTTCAGGCTGGCCTTGAGCTCACTTTGTAGCCCAGGCTGGCCTCGAACTTGCAATGATCCTCCTGCCTCAGCCTCCCAAGTGCTGGGATTACCGGCATGTGTCACCACACCTGGCTTCATGGTACAGTTTTTGCATGGCAGGATGAAGTATTTGTTCCAGTCTTCATAATTTTGCTTTCTTTGTCTCCCCGCTCTAGAAATTTCTAAGCAGTTTGAGTCTCTGAGCAGATGTATCTTTTTGCTATTTCAACACTAGAGGGCACTCTAAGCCTAGTTTTGTTGTATATGCATGGTAGGTACTACATGCTAATACAGAATAAACTTAGAAGCATATCATCGGGGCCAGGGTAGGCTCAGATGCCTTACGTGTAGCCTTTGATGAGGCACTGCAGAATTCTTGGCTGCAGGCCTCAAAACAGGAGGACTGGCCTAAGGCTTCTATGCAAAACTTGATGCTTGCCTTTCTTTTCTTTGTTTCTTTTTTGTTTGTTTGTTTTGAGACAGGGTCTCATTGTAGTTTAGGCTCACCTTGCTTGCTTACATAGCCCAGGCTAGCCTTGAACTCGTAGCAGTCTTCCTGCCTTAGTGTCGCCAGTGCTGGGATTACAGGTGTGCGCCACCACGCCCAGCTGCCTCTCTGCTTGCCCCAAGTAGGTAGTTAACGCTTGGTGTGTTGTGCTGCCTGATTCTATGGCAGGCAGTCCTGTGGCCACTGACGTTGTTACACTGACGTTGAGTTACGCCGCCCACAGCTTACCAAGATAAGCGTGGCACAGGGCACGGGGCACAAACACACAGTGCTGTGGGCTATTTCCTGCTGAGGTGGGCCCATAGGCCAAGGCCAGCACAACCAGCCCAGATGCGATGCTGGCTGGAGTAGAGGTCCCATTGACTGTGGTGCCTGGACTGGTATAGAGGCTTTCCCTGGAACCACTGGCCTGGTGACAGGGACTGTTAGAATCTGCCCAGCTTTAGGTTTCACCAACCATGGCCCTGAGGTCTTAGACAAAGTCCTTCTTCACTGTACTGTCTTGCCTCAGGGACAGGAGCCTTGATCCTGGCCGTGCTACCCAGGGTTGGGCAGAGGTGATGCAGGTGTTGCTTCAGTTGCCCAGGCTGATACTAAGCTGGGTCACAAACTGAGGCTTATAGCTGCAGGGAAGGGGCCTACGCGGGACCCAGGCGTCATGGGCAGCGATGCACATGCACGCTGAATCGTGAATCGCCTTTGGGCTCCACTGTGGCGGTCTTGGAACCGAGCTCCAAGGTGCAGTCCTACGCTCACTCCAGCCTCCTCCCTAGTGAGAGACTCGCTGTGCCGCTCGCGGCCGGCAGAAGGGCAGTGGAGGCAGGCGTCGCCCGGCTGAGGAGCATCCGCCGGAGCTGCCGTCTGGGTACTGACCCAGGAGAAGCGCCGCGGGGCGGGGCTGCCCCTGGGTCTCACCGTGCAGCCCGTGCTGGGCTCCGAGCCTGAGGTCTGACAGCTGTCCCCTCCCCCGTGGGAGGCTCCGTCACGGGCAGCTCTTCCCTCCGCCTGCCTCAGCGCACCCTTGTCGTTATCCTGCCCGGCGGACGCTGTCGCTCTCACCCTCGCTCTGGGGAAGCAGCTCGGGTGCGAACCGCTGTGCACTTCTGCGACTGTTTTGGGAGACCGACGCTGCAGCGTCTCACGTAGCTGCCGGCTGCTCCTGCTGACCATCACTTAAGGCCACCCCATGGGGCTGGATACAGTCCCCTGTTACAGATAAGTGAGTCGAGCCTCTTAAAGAGCTAAGTGACTTCTCTAAAGTCTCCTCGCTTGTATTTGAACCATGACTGCCGCAGTATAGCGCCAACAGTGCTTATTTTTCCCCACATGCTCTTCCCTTACCTCATTTAAAATGAGACATTTGGCCGTAGAAAGAGCTTTAAGTATGTACAGCGTCGTGCGTCTTAGCTCACGCTTTAGGGTGAGAACTGTGTCCGAAGTACAGCTTGTGTAGCATGTCTTCAGGGAGCCATGATTTGCTATAGGTTTCACCCCCCAATTTGACTGTGTGTGAGAGATTCTAGGAAGGTGCATAAGCCCTACACTGTAAATGTTACACACACGCATGCGCACACACACAGATGGTGTGTGTATTTTTAAAGCATGAGACTCGTGTTTACTTTTAAGCCTTATTTCTGATAATTATGGTGAATTGATTTTTATGAAATGTATTTATTGAAAAGTAGAAATTTAACAATTCCATTGCCTTCACTTTAAACTTTTTAATCCTTTATATTTAGGTTATCTTTATTGTAATGAATACGATAGTCTGAGATTGCGATGGCTGAAGCAGACGTTAGAATCGTTCATCCCACAACCTTTGAGAAATGTAATTAAAGTATCTGAATTGGATGGCAGAGAAATAGGAGATGCCCAGCCTGAAACGTTTGACAAGGTACTTTTATTACATTTTGACGAGCTGATGGACTCCCAAGATTACCACTGTTATGTTGCTTTGTTGTTGCTTTTCTTCTGCTCCCAGCCTATCCTGATAGAGTTTCTCAGTGCTCTGGGATATTTTGATAAAGTGAACGTGGAAGCAGTTTTCATTCGCTGGTCAGCATGATTTAAAGGCAGCAGTAACATTGGGTTTTGAGATTAGAGAATGTTATATGTTTCCGTGTACCTTAAAGATACTTGGGAAAAGGTCAGATGTTATTTGGGTCAGTACACAAACATGTGCACTAGATTGCTTCAACTCAGTAACATTCCGTATTAGAGAATGGCAGTTAGAGAAAAGGGTGTCATTTCTGTAAATGAAAATTGAAATATTAGTTCTTAAAAATGCTAACTTCAGAAATAGAGTAATGTCTGTTTAAAATGAGTTTTTAATGCTTAAAAATGTTTAGGAGCCGGGGATGTAGCTCAATGGCCCAAGCGCCAGCCTGGCAAGCACAATATCCTAAGTTCGATTCCCAGTTCAAAAAAAAAAAACTGCTGAGGATTCAGAAATATGGTATGATAATGTCTGTTTAAACTGAGTGACTTTTGTAAGTTTTTGGTGTGGTTGTCAAAATATCAAATGTCATTAATAGACTTTCTAGCCAGCCATAGTGGCACATACTTGTAAGCTTAGCTATTTGGGAGGCCGAGGCAGGAGAATCGGAAATTTGAGACCAGCTGGGGTAATGTGAGACCCTGTTTCAAAATTACATAAAACAGGGCTCGAGATACTGCTCAGGAATAGACTGTTTGCCTAGTATTCTTAAGCCCTGATTCAATGCCCAGCACCACAAAAGAGAGACAGCCAGACATCAGTAGACTTTAGTTCTCTCATCTTTCTTGCCTGCAGTCAAAACAAACAAAAACCAACACTGTACTTGGGCATGGTGGCTCATGCTTGTAACCCCTACCCTGGGAAGGTAAGGCAGGAGGATCGAAAATTTGAGCTCAGCCTGAGAAATTTAAAGACATAGCAAGACTCTGTCTCAAAATAAAAAATAAAAGAAGGGCTGGAGATGTAGTCTAGTGTGATAGCCCTAGGTTCCATCTCTGATAGCATAAAAAAACAGGCAACAGTAACAGGAAAAACACTGAATTTATATACAAAAACTTTCTGATAAGTAGGAATGAGTAAATATTTTGAAGAACTTAAACATGTTGTGTCTTTAGTACCAAAGGAAATGTTTCTATTTGTACTTGCTATTTGTTTGTCACGAAACGCCTCTTAAGAATGTACTTGCATCATTCGTCCTTTCCCTCTAGGTGTTAGTTGATGCTCCGTGTTCCAATGATCGAAGTTGGTTGTTCTCTTCCGATTCTCAGATGGCAGCCTGGAGAATACATCACAGGAGAAGCTTACCTGTTCTACAGTTAGAGCTCTTAAGGTGAGCTGTGTAATACAAAGGCTTACTTTGGTTTCTAGTGTAATTTAAATAGGCATGAGAGAAGACATCAGGCCCCCAAATGGAAGACTTCCTGTGTAGGTGTCAGTGATTAATTTCTCTGAAGACTGCACTAAAAAAATTCCAAGCTTTTTTGAAAATTTCTGCTTTCATTCTGTAATGTCTTCTAACCCCTAACAACCTGCACTGTCACCATGCATTGCCTTGAAAGGGTACAAATGAAGTTGTTTGCTTACTGAGACCATCCCAAGCATAGGCTTAGAACCAGGGTTTTTATCAGAACCCGAGCAGTTCCCCCAAAGGAGTAGCCTTGCACTAGCATGTATTTTTTGGTAATTTTCTGGATATGTCAGCTCCCTAGGAAGATGTAGCTATTTGTTGCACTTGTCTCCCCTCTGAGAATCTTGCAGAAGTGATTGACTATGAAGAGATTTGGTTTCCTTTGGATCAAAGGCATTTAGGGACATCTTTGCTGTGGTTCCAAAAGAGTTTTTGACTTAAATGTTCCTCCCGAGTAATTCCTATTATTTAATGGTTGTATTAGTCCATTTTTCCCATAACAAAATACCTGAGGTCAGATATTTTATAAAGAAAAAAAGGCTCATTTCACCTGCTCACGAGCGTGGTGCTAGAGTCTGCTGGGCTCTGACGAGGGCCTCTGTCTGTCCACATCGCAGCAGATGGCGTCATGGCTGCAGGAAGAGATCACAGGGCAACACAGGAGGCCAGAGAGAGATCAGGATTTAGGGACCAAAGTGCTGCTTTTTTTTTTTAATCTTTAAAAATTTTGTTTTATTTTGATAGCAACTCACTCTTCCAGGAACTAACCAGGGCCCTGGAGGAAACACGTTAAGCAGTCTAACTGCTTTCAGTTCTCAATGGTTCCCACCTCCTAAAGGTCACACCCCTTTCCACACTGGCACCGAGCTTCCAGGGGCCTGCAGGGGACACACTCAGACAGTGTCCAAACTGTGAAATGTTAATGCTTCCCAGAACTCTGGAATTTGTAAAGTACAGCTAACTGTTGTCTTATCACTCAGTACCTCTTACATGCAGAAGGGCACTGCATGACAGTATGAACTTCAGACAGTGTGCTTTCTTCCAGTCTGTGACTGATACGCAGCAGGGAACATGTCCTAATTCTCAAACACTGCAAACAGTAGTAATGTGTAGTCTTTTTCTTGCCTCAGATTAGGTGTTGGCTCAGTTTGGTGATTCTTGCTAATACCAGAAGGTTTCCTAAACATTTTGCATCTGGCAGTTAGACTATTTCTATATTTATCCAATATCAGCCTTTCATATACTACAAATCTAAGACATTTGGAAACTCTACACCTTTTCCTTTTCCTTGCTACCAGCTTTGTGATGCTGCCTACTCTTTCTCTAAATAACTTTTCTCACTTTTATAGTTTGGCTTCTCAGTTAATTATCTCTGTTACATGGAATCTTTCCACTGTTATCCCTTATGTCTTATAACAGATACTAAGTATTCTGATAGCTTACTAGTATTGTGATGTGTTATTTTTGTTGTTTTGTTTTGTTTCTTGAGACAGGGACTCGCTATGTAGTTCAGGATTCCTTGAACCCACTGTGTAATGAAGGCAGGCCTCAGACTCCTGCCTTAGCCTCCTGAGTGCTAGGATTACAGGCGTGGCACTGCCATGCCTGGTGACATGCAGTTTTCTTTTTTAAACTACAAGCTTCCTAAGAGTATTCTTTTTCTCCTCTCTCATGGAAATCTCCATTGCCTTCTCTTTCTTCTTGTTCATGATAGCTTTCTTGTATTTTATGTTTCATGTCCTGTTTCTCTTTTCATTTTGTCTCAAACCTTCCTATTTTATTTTGAACCTTCTTTTATTAAAGTTACTAATGACATATTGACTGATGAAGATAAATTTTTCTATCTTAATTTTACTTGATATGTTTTTAAAATTATACGATAAGTTATTATTTATTTGGCAGGGAGAGTGGTTGCAGTCTTTTCTGTCACAAAACAGTAAAGCCTATTCCAGGCTGGCCTTGAACTCACTCTGTAGCCCAGGTTGGCCTCAAACTCAGCCTCCTGACTTCTGAGATTAAGGGTGTGAAGCAGTATGCCTGGCTTGCGTTTGATAAAATTGAAAGTGTGTTTAAAGTATATAAATAATATATGGAAACATTGATCTTGTAAAAACCATTGAGTAATGCAGATAAACAGGGTTCCCTTGACCATTCTTAGACTTAAATTTGATTTATACTCATAAACTTTCTGTAGCTTTTCTCACAAGTAAATACACATAGAGAAATACACTTAAAAATAGCTGCTGTTAGTATGTGTACACTATTTAACTTGCACTTGTACTTTTTTACTTGATATTTTTAGTATTTTGTAAAAAGATCTAATTTTATTTCTTTAACTTCTGTGAAATATTCACAAAGTATCAGTTCACTGTACTCTATTTAATTCTTTTTCTTTCTTAAGTTTTAAATTTATTGATCCTCTTTTCCATCAGATACCTTCAACTTACCTGAAATGCTGTATCTCAAATATGTTTCTAAGCTTCGATCTTTCTCCTTAGCTCTCAACCTACACATTCAGCTACATACTGGCGATCTCCCCATACATAAAACTCAACTAGTTAAGATTAAAGTCATAATTTCTAAGGTTCTCCTAGTCCCCACTGCCATCAACGAAACAAAAAAAATCAAAATCGGAATCCCCCAATCTGACTCATCTATTAAGGTAAGTGCTATACCCCCATGCATTTGCCTATGTGTGAAAGCCATATCCTCTCTTTTACCTATATCCAATCAATCAATAAAACATCTCAGTGGTACCTGTTACATATCTCTGAAGTCCCCAGTTCTCTGCATCTTTCAGACCTAGATCACCAGCATCTGTTACTCGATTGCAACTAACTCCTAACTAGTATGCCTCCAGTTGTGAATTCTACTTCTTCCTTCTATAGAGTGAAGCTAAAGTATTGTTTGGAATTTAAATCAGTGAAGCTAAAGTAAGTTTGGAATTTAAATCTGATCCTATGTTTAGTTTTCTGGGAGTCATGCAGTGATTCCCTGTTACTAGCAAGATTTCCACCTCCTTATTTTATTTTTGTGGTACTAGACATTTCCAGCTCTTTATTATAATATCCAAGAATTCTTTTGATATAGCCTGTCCTTCCTTCATTGACCTCATTATCTCAGGGCTCTTATTGCATTGTGTTTCACCTCAACAGTTCTTCAAATCTCCATGAAGTGTCAAGGGACTGGTGTATTTCTTGTTCCTCTCATTTTAGAGTTCTTCCTTATCTTTCACTTTCTCCTTACTGAACTCCATTGATTCTTCAGGAATTGCCTCTGACATGTTAGTTTGAAGCCTTAACCTGACTCCTGACTCTCTAGGACTGAGGTTTATTTTGTTTGCAGTTGCTTTATATGGTTTTGGCCAAAGCCTGGTTTGGGTTTTAACCATTTTTTTCTCTTCATGTAATAAATCTCCCTTAACAGCCACATTTCCTTACCATCAGGCATCACCACAGGGATTGCAGAGGTCGTGCACGTGCGTGATCTCTGATGGTGGAACAACTAAGGCTCTTCCTGAGCAGTTACTCCACTCTCCTACCTTCGTACTCCCCACAAGGAATGCCTGTCATACCACAGCGCAGAAGTAACAAGTAGGGCACAAAACTGACCTCTCAATCATGAGTGTAGGTTTTCATGTAATCACTCCTGACTGGGAAAGACCATCACACTAGCCATCACCCCATTTTCTGTCCTTGAGCAGCTCCTGTACAATCTGCGCCCCTGCTGCTTGGTCCGTGTGGGAGGTGTAGGAGTTACTTGTAGTGAGCACTTGGGAGTCTTAGCTATGATGTTAAGTGGAAGAGAAAGGGATACCCAATGTACAGGCACAGAAAATAGTCTGATTTTCCAATATCTACATTTCCTGGGTAAAAAATAATAAAGGAGAAAGTGATAATACCAGACACAGTCTCTCATCTGTTACCCTTGACTCCAAAAAATAATTTTTTTAGTAAATTTTTCATTAGAGATAACTGTGTTAATCACTATATCATTTACACAGAAGTTTTTCTTGCCTGTCTGCCAGACCTTCCTTAGCTCCTATTTCTTTAACAAAAGGTAATCTTTTAACTCCATGATGAGCGATAAAAGGATTCAAATGCCACCTCTTATTCCCTTAACAAAAGGCAGTCTTTTTATTTCATAATAACAGATAAAAGGATTTAAGTGCAAATCTACAAGACAGTACATGGATGTGTATGAGTTCTAGTCAGATTGTAAAGGGTAGATTTAAGATCCTTGTACTTGCAAAGAGCAGTTAGAAGATACAGGCAACAAGTAGTGCCTTATATTGTGGACAGAGGATGGCATTCAAAGGGGAGAAAAGGCCTGGAAACAGTAGTCAGGAAGTGTATAAGCCAAAACCTTTGGCTGAATGGTTATTGAAGACTGTTTCGGTTGGTGTTCATCAGAGAACCAGATTTAATGCAAGATATACAAATATATACGAATTTACAAGATTGGCTCACAATGGCTGCCCACAGAGTCAGATGTGGAAGAGCACAAAAGGTCTGCCTGCACCCTGGAGATCTGAAGGATCCAGTCAAAGGCCTGGAGCTCACGGGAGTATCCTGGGTGAGTCTGTAGCAGGAGGCTGAAAGGTCTGCACTGGAGACAGGAGACAGCATCTGAGGTGAAGGTGAAGACGAGCTCCTCCAGGGAAACGGAAGCAACCTTCCATTTACTCCCCTTTCATACCATTCTGGCGACATCCTCCTTCCAGTGGGTCTTCCACGCACAGAACTATGCTGAACCAATTTAGCTGGGCATTTTTTACTCAAGTTGACACAGTCAGTTAGCTATCACAACACACCCTTTGTCAGCTTGATAGACATATTTCTTTAAATCATAGTCTTCAGATACAAAGGCAAGTTCATAGTCATCCCTAACATGTTGTGACTGTCCTGTGTACAAATGGACAA